ACGCAGTGAAATGCGAACGCAGATCAGATGTCTAAAGCGACAGATCAGATGATGTTACACCGAGAGGCGGGACACGGGAGCAGCAGGAGAGAGGAAAAATAAAAACTCAAAAAAATAAACGGACTCAACGCTCTGAACACAGATGGCTGCACCCAACCTGTTACCTTTGGCTAAAGTAAATAAGCGGAAAGGGGGGAAAAGCGGAAATTATTGGTGGAGACGTGTCTACCAATAATTTCCTGTGCATTCGACAGATGCTGGACTGAGATCTTGAAGATTTGAAGGCCAAACTAGATTAACTAAAGTCATCATCCGTCCTAGTTTTTGTAGCAGGGCATTTTATCCTGTTGATGGGGGCCACATCCAGCAGGTATTGCTGTCTCCATTTAAGTGTGTAGAAATCCGTTCAACATATGCCCAGTAATGACGACCAAATGATTGATCAAAGTCCTGCACTGCCTCTGAGCACTGTGTCTTCCCTGGATAGTGGATACTTTTCTCCACAAGTTGGAAACAAAATGTTCACACATCAGGTCACACCACCATCTTCCATTGTGGAGCTGGGTATTGATTGATTAATTAATTCAAAGTTCCGATCCTCCAGAATTAGAATAGGTTCTTTCCTAAATTAGATAGCTGGTGTTAATGTTAACTCACGTGTTTAGAATTAATTACATGACAGTGTAATTATGCAGCACATCGATTATAGTGATATATTCACATTAAACAACAATTAAATACAGCGAGAAGCGACAAGAGAAGACATCTAAGCCTAAATAAGTGCATAGATGAAGACCAGACAGGGAGGCTAAATGGATGTCCCTCCACCATCAATGGGCAGGTAGCCTTCAGTCCACAGAGCACTGAAATAGGTGTTAAAAAGTATACATTTTTGCAACTCTAAATCAATTCCCATGTTAATTTCTGGAGATTGATTCGTATAATCAAAGTTTGTTATTTGAAAAAAACATTTTCCACTGTTCTTAACCTTTTATGGGGAAAGTTACTGTTTTTGATCCCTTGCATACCCAAATGGAATCCCCCTCCCATCCCTCAGTGACATCTAGAAGGACAAGATCTATATCCAGCCATTCAGCAAAGATACTGCTACATGGCTTTACATCTTGACCAATTAGATGAGCCCTTGAATGATATATTACCTTCTGTAAATGAAGTGGGGGGGGTTCAATTAAAGAAAAAAAGGTAAAAAGTTAATAAGCCTAGTTAAAAATTATATTTAGGTTTCTAAACTAAAAAATGTAAGTGCCAGTATCAGCATTAATGCCTCTAATGCTGCATTCACACCGGACGCAGCAGGCACAGCGGAAGCAGCGAGTTTACGTGCAAAATCAATGGTTGACGCTCGTCAAGGCACAGCAAAAGGTCCCGCAGCACATTTTGAGCAGCAGGAGCAGTGCGTCGGGAGCGTTTAAGATTATGTTGTACCCAAAAAAAAAAATGTTTCTTTAACTCTAACTGTTTCTCATGAATTTCTAATAGAAGCACTTTTTTTATTATTCTTAATATATTCGAGCATGTTGGCATTTCTTGTTATTACGTTGACATTAATTTTTGCCATCAAAATATCCATATCTTTTGAATGTTACAAAGTTAATAAGATATAGTCGTGGATTCCAATAACACTATCGGCTTGAAATTCAAAGTTTTTTACTGCGTTCCCTGTAAAGGGTTAATTCTGACCTTTCAAATATATGGTTAATGCTTAATATAGTACTACTACAGTGGACATGTGTTGCTACATGGAGAGGGTGGGTTTAGTGTTTTTGTTTTTTTGATTTACCAAAAATAAGAAAAAAGAACACCATTGTACATTGGATCTAGATTTTATTTGGACGTATGTTCTGAATATACACACACACAAAACACCTCTGCATGGAAAGTATGGCAGAAGCAGGTTATAATTCAGCAGGTTACTGATTAACTTAGAAAGATGGAAATATTACCCAGCTGTTGTAACATTTTGTAAACCAAGAAGACAATCATGCTCTATTTATTCATCACATTATGAGCACATTTACCCCTGCTAGTGAGTGAGATATACTGGGCAACAAGAAGTAAACATGCTGGAAAAGTGGTTTTAGAAACAGGTAAAAGTGGCAATCAAAAAGGATTTAATCCTTTATAGGGAACTCAGTGAAATACTTTGAAAATCTAAATTTCAAGCCAATAGTGTTATTGGAATCCAAGACTATACCTTGTTGCCTTTGTAACATTTAAAAAATATAGAATATTATGAATATTTTGATGGCAAAAATTAATGTCAATATAATTACAAGAAAATTAAAATTAGGAAAAATAACAAAAGTGCTTCTATAAGAAATTTATGAAACACTCACAGTGAAAGGAAAAAAAATGTCTTTGGTACAACATAACCTTAGTCTTTAATGCTGATTCTGACACTGACATTTACCTAGGTTATTATTTACTTACTAAATTTATAACTTTTCAATTACCGTATTTTCACGACTATAAGGCGCACATAAACGTCTTTTTTTCCCCTCAAAATGTGCGGTGCGCCCTATGTGTGTTGTAACTGCGGACTTTTGAGACCACCTCATTGAGGAGATGATGAAAGAGTGGCTGAGGGAGGTGAATGTAATGAGACCAGGTGGGTTTTTTCCACTCATCACTATTGCTGTTATTCTGTGACTCCATGCGTGCCCATCTCACAGCTGATGAGAAAAACATGGTGAAATAAATTAACACTGTGCTTGCTGTTATTCAACTGCTCAACATCGGTGTGAACCGGGCGCAGCAGAAGCAGCGAGTTTACATGCAAAGTCAATGGTTGACGCGCGTATAGGCGCAGCAAAAGGTCCAGCAGCGCGTTTTGAGCAGCAGGCGCAGCGCGTCGGGAGCGTTTAAGCATCTGACACACAGCCAACGCGCTGCTGCTGCTCGAGATGGAAAAATTGAAGTTTTGCTGCTGGAAGCGCCGCATCAACCAATCAGAGAAGCTGATCTGGGAGCTGACAGCGAGACAGACACATCGCTCTGATGACATATGATATTAAGGCAAATAAAAAGGGCTGGATGGATGAGGAGATGATGAAAGCGTGGCTGAGGCAGGTGTATGTGAGGAGACCAGGTGTTTTTTTCCACGCATCGCCATCTCTGTTAATCTGTGACTCCATGCGTGCCCATCTCACAGCCGATGTGAAAAACATGGTGAAAAAAAATAAACGCTGTGTTTGCTGTTATCCGGGAGGTCTGACAAAGGAACTTCAACCGCTCGACATCGGTGTGAACCGGCCGTTCAAAGTAAGGCTGCGAGCGGCGTGGGAGCGATGGATGACCGATGGAGACCACAGTTTCAGGATAAGTGGAAGGCAGCGCCGGGCAGTTAACGCCACCGTTTGCGGATGGATTGTAGATGCTTGGACTAACGTGTCTGCTTGCTCTGTTGTTCAAGCTTTCGCAAAAGCCGGCATTATTTCTGAGGAGCCGCGCTGCACGGAAAGTGACTCTGACAGCGAAGAAGGGGAAATTGGCATGTCTGATTTAGCCCAGCTGTTTAATTCAGAAACAGAGGATGATGACTTCGATGGGTTTGATTAATACTTTGTAATAAATACATGAATAAAGCACAATCATACTCAGTTTTGCTCCCGCTCTATTTTTCTACCTGAAAACTTAATTCAACAGCAGCCTCTGGGCCGGGTCTCCTCCGGGTTCACCGCGGTGGCTGGGAGGTGTTTTTAATCTAAATAATCTAAATCTTGCAGCTATATTTGATGTGATCAGTGGGAACAAAGTAGTTTTAATATGTTTTTAAGTGAGAAAGTCCACCTGAAAACTTCATAATTGTAGTCAGTTCATCCAGATTATCATCCTGCCTATACTATTTCTGTCGGAGGCGCTCAGACCCCCACATACCAGCGGTGCACCGACAGTAGAAATCCCTTCAACAGCAGCCTCTGGGCTGGGTCGCCTCCGGGTTCACCGCGGTGGCTGGCAGGTGTTTTTCATCTAAATAATTTAAACTGCAGGCAGCAGGATACCGGTAATAAAAGCGAACATATTCCATCGCAGGTTTCAGGATTTTAAGTTAATTTAGGAGTGACCACAGCGCTCTGTCATCAGCGATTGTGTCTGTCTCACGGCCAGCTCCCAGGTTTGATTAATACTTTGTAATAAATACATGAATAAAGCACAGTCATACACAGTTTTGCTCCCGCTCTATTTTTAAATACACAGTAGAGGTATTTAAAGGTAGTAGAGGACATGTACCGGTATATAAAAAAACGTGCCCTATAGTCCGGTGCGCCTTATGTGTGTGTTAAATACAGTAATGGCACACATAACTGAGACTGCGCCTTTTAGTACGGTGCGCCTTATAGTCGTGAAAATACGGTAGCTTTTTACCTTCTTTCTTGACTTGTTAACCTTTTCCCCCAATTTAATTTACAGTACGTAATATATTATTCAAGGGCTCATCTAATTGGTCAAGATGTACAGCCATGTAGCAGTATCTTTGATGAATGGCTGGATATAGATCTTGTGCTAGATCTATATCCAGCCCGGGGGGGGGGGGACTCCATTTGTAAGGGGTATGCATGTGATCAAAAATGGTAACTTGTCCCTTAGTCTTAGAAAAGAGCACAACAAAAGTATTGGAATAATTGAAACACAGTAAAGATTAATATTGATCAGTCTATCAGGCCTAATCTGGTTAGAATGTCCAAGAAGAGGTGTGTTTATTTTCTTTTTTAATCGTTTTTTTAATTGTCGCTACAGAAGAGGATTGGGGCCACTGGGAAAAAAATATTAACTGATTTTTTAATATTATTTCAGTTTAATATGGGAAAAAAGTCGGAATTCTGACTTTAATCTTAGAATTCTGACTTTTTTCTCATATTCTACTGAAACAAATTTTAAAAATCTGTTAACTTTTTTTGTTTTTTCAGTGGCCCTAATCCTGCTCCGTACGTCTCCTTTGAGCCTTGCGTTGGAAGTTTTCCTACAGGCCATAAATGCATCGCGCGCCCTCCCTTTTCAAAGTGCGCATGCGCAGGACATGTTGCAAACAATGAGACTATTCCAGACCGTCTTGAGCTTTGTGTCTAAGTTTATCAGTGGAAAACTAAACGCTCCCTCTCTGCTCTGAGTCTGCGGAGCGAGATGCTCCTCGGTGAGTAAAGCAACGCTGTCCCCGATAGATGCCACCGTTCAAACCCTGATATTAATCAGCATCAGTACCACCTATCTGGCGGTGCGGTCCGAAACCCATCTCGGATGACATGTTTGGGCGTGACAGCGTGCGGAAGAACAGAGCGGTGTGGACTGCATGTGTCCAGCTCGCTCTGAGGGTTAAACTGTCCCTTTATTCAGCAGTGGTCGCGCTGATCAGCGCAGACCGGGTTGCTGGGAGTCGTGTGTAGCTTTTAAATGCTCACTTCCCGGCTTCTCAATGCTGCTGCTGCTTAGCAGGCTAGTCAGCTGAGGCTAGCCCAACATTACTGTCGCCTTTCCCCTAAAATTAAGCTTGAAGTGAAACGTTTATCATTTCTGTACGTGTTTTGGTCATTTTTAATGTCAGTTTGTTAAAACTTCTTTTTTTGTCCATAATAAGATTGGAAAATGTTTTTTTTTTCTGTTGAGTATTGTATATCTTGCATTTATTTTTGATCAATGTGGTGAAATGTGACAAAATTTTAAAATATACTCTCTACTCTATATAGAGACTGTATAAAAGCTAGAGATAAAGACACCTCTGTTATATATTAGTTTGCATTTTCTTCCTAAATGTGATGCACCTTTAAAGATGCACAAATTTGAAAAGTCTTTATGCATAATCAAACAGAAATGGAAAACCCCCCTAATTGTCTCACAATGGGGAAATTCTGGTGTTTACAGCAGCAATAAATTACAGAAGAAATGTTGACATTGTTAAAGATCTGTGTATGCACCTTAAAGCTCTATCTCTCCAGTTCTTCTCCCAGAAAAGAGATCACTCGGGACAAACTCTTTAAATAACATTTCATAACTTATATGTATGAAATAACCATGAGACATGACAACAGATTCTGATAGAAATCAGAGAAATTGTTTAGAGTTTGCAGAAGGCAGCTGCTCTCCTCCGGGCTCACCTCTCAGGAAGTGGCCCCGATTAACAGTTAAAAAGGTATTTTATACATCTCCAGTCTGCCATAGCTTCATATTTTACGTCATACACGTTAGCAGATGATTAGACATCCATGGCTCCAGCCTTATCAAAATATTACACTTTGTTCTTAGCTGAAGGACATTGCTCTCATTCATTTCCAAATCTTTGCCACACACAGAATGAAGATTATAACTGTGTATCCAGACAGAGGAACTGTCCTATTCAGATTAACTATTATGGAAAACATCAGTTCTGACACGCAACAGGCAGCCAATGCCAAGGTGTAATAAACTCACACATCTTCAATGATAATTATCCTAACAATACAAATATGGACCTTTAGAAAAATGTATAAAAATAACATAATGGTGAAGTTAAGAGATAAACAATAAAATACTCTTCTGTAAAGTGTTTTCACAAAATAAAAACTGTGCACCTGGAGAATAAATAACCAATATACAGCTATGGACATTTTTACAGTAACGGATATTTGAAAATAGCAGCAACATCTGAGATGTGCAAAATGACAATAGGACCTTACAATTGAATTAATTTATGATATAGCTTGTTATGTGAGATATATGTTAGAACAGAAAGGAATATTTAAAATGGTTTCGCATCTTGGTGTTTCGTCAATCGTTTGATCCGAATGTGAAATTGGCAGATTCTGCATCGCTAATGTGTTTGGTAGTCCGCAAGTAAACTACTTAAAAGGAAGAAGTATTACAATACCGTATAATGTTTCTGTTAATTATCGCATTAACCAACTTTAATGCAATTTTATTTAACTGTTATCTAAATATCACACAAGGCTTGTACATGTGGATAATATTGCACCTGTTAGACAAATTTGACTGGTTAAAGTTGTTATCAGCAGGTAAGGCATGACTGACTGGTACATCTCTTAACCTTTTAAATCCCTTTTTTTTTTTTTACAATATTTATTAAAGAAACCTGTTAACTGCTTAGCTGTATGTTGTGTTGCAGGGAGCTGAAGCATGGAGGCGGTTCTGAGTAGGCTGAGGGGTCTGAGTCCTGCCGAGCTGTCTGAGGAGTTTGGGAGAGCGGACCTGAAGTGCGGCCCCATCACGCCTACCACCCGGGCTACCTATGAAAGGAAGTTAGCTCGTGTTCTGGCTGCACAGGCGGGAGCTGGTTCTGAAACGGACAGCAGCTCTTCATCGCAGGTCACAGACGGCACGGAGGCAGGAAGCACCTCGGCTGCTTCGCTTGAGACCGCTGGAGCCAGCTGCAGTTCCTCGCTAAAAAACGGTGAAGATTTAGACTTTGGCTACGGCGTGGGTCTGAACCCTCCAGAGGAAGAGGAGATCTCAGGAAAGTCCAACTTTAAAAGCTCGGGGGACTCGACGACAGAAACGCCTTCAAAGCCAGCACAAGTCTCTCCTACTTCATTTTATGGAGTCTGTCCCCTGTGGGAGGATGTCTTGGTTCGAAGTGGTAAGACTGTTAAAAATTATCCCACCGGGTCATTCAAAATTTCTAAATAGTTATCCTTTGGTCGATAATTGATGCATTTTTCGCTTGGGAAAAATATCTTCTTGATATAAAGAAAAAAATCCCAAATTAGATATTTTACTGTTTGCTCTACTTTTAGAAAACACATTTTTACTAACCAGGGTCTAAAGTCCTACTAAAGTTTATTCTAGTTGTTTACCAAAGACTCTGAGCTGTCAACATTTCCCCAACTAAAGGGAATGTTTGTTTTTTGAGTATATTGATTTATTTATTTTTTGGTCAAGATGGACCTCTATTAAAGCTGCTCTTCCTGGAGCACCAATCACACAGCACAGATGGGTTCAGAAATGTTCCGAGGACAGAAGTGTGAAGCTGTTTACGACATTGGGCTCTGCTAACCTTTGTGGCCTTCTGTGTCCACCAGCAACTCTCTCATTGGCAGATATTTTCCATATTTTGTCACATTGCAATCTCAAGTTTATTTCTCTTATTGTTTGGATTTCATTTATTAGACCAACACAAAGTTGCTCATAACTGTGAAGTGGATGAAATTAATATTTAAGATAAATCTAATCACCCCCCTTTCAGTAAATTCTTATTACTATAAATTTTGCTGCAGGTATGTTTTGAAATTGTGTAAATGAAAAATCCCTTTTAGTTTCACACATCAGGAAACACAATCTCACTGATTGGCTCCATCTCTAAACATCAGTTAAATACACAGACTCCTGATTGAACTTTATTTCACTGCATCCATCTTCATATTTACTCTGACCAGCTTCCCGCCTCTGGTGAAAAGAACAATCCCAGCTGGATGCTGTTTCATCCTGGTGGTGAAGTGATGTTAGTTCAGGATGTGTGACATTAGTTCCCCCGCACAGATTACTGTCAGCATGGAGCCAAAAGGGTTTAATTTCTGGTCCGATTTGAAAAGTAAACATTCCTCCATCAGTTTGCTGTGTCTATGGCTGCACCTTATTAGAAAGTCTTGCTTTGGTGAGAATATTGGTAAATGATTCAATTAAAAACACCACTTGGGAGATTTTACTCCTTCCTCTTGTTCTCACATATAGGGATGGAAATAAAAAAACTGTTCCTGTTCAGAACCCGTTCCATGTGTTCCGATTCCATGGCACCGTATGGCAGCTCGCTTAATGATTCTCTTAAGGGTTCCAGGCAGCACCAGAGCCTAGCGCTGGGCAGCATGACTTACATCATGTTTTTTACGCAGGTTACGCACACGGCATTCAGTAAGCAAGTACGACTTGACCAGGCGTATGTCTAGAAAAGCAAAACAAAAAAATGGCACCCCATTGGGTAAAACGATCGAAAGTTTGGCTTCGTTTTAGGGAAGAAAAAGATGGCAACAAGGCGCTTTTAATCATTGCAAAGTGGCAATTACGTCCATGGGAGGAAATACATCCAGCATGCAGAAACACATGCGCATACAACATGGCATACATTTTAACAAAGGCTGTGTTTTTGATGCTTCTGGACAGAAGCTAAAGTTAAAACACTTAAGATTATTTGTTTTAAAAACAACATTTTTATTTCCCTCTACTAAACGTATGCCTTATGATGTCTGATAAAAACACATTGAAATCTGTGGCTTTAAGGTGACTTTTTCAAGGCACTGATTCTGGAGAACACCTGGAAACAGACGGACTTCTGAACCGCAAGTAAAGTAGCTATCAGAGAACAGAGTTGGGTAACTTTGTGTCTGTGTGTTTGTTGCAGAGGGACCACATGTTTACACGGATAAGAAAGACGCACTTCAAGCTGTTAAGACGATGAAGGGAGCGCGTTTCAAAGCGTTTACCAACCGAGAAGATGCAGAGAAGTTTTCTAAGGGACTCTTTGACTATTGTCCATCTCCAAGCAAATCCACTCTCTGCATCTCCCCGATCAAACCTGGACTGCTCGCTGGGAAAGGTGGGGTGGAGCGCATTGTGATCAGTGTGTGTGTTTTCTCTAAAACCTGGTCTTTCAGCTTAACAGCATCGTTGTTTTGTATGTTTATAAATAAGTGAAGTGGTGATGAAATGGAGGCATTATTGAATAAAACATTTGATCAAACACTGGTTTTGGTTTCTTGTCTCAGCAGAAATCCAGGAGGTGGACACCATTAACAGGGAGCGGGCCAACAATTATAAGAGCCCAAGAAGTCAGGATCTGACTGCCAAGCTACGGAAAGCTGTGGAGAAAGGGGACGAGCAGGCCTTCAGCGAGCTCGTCTGGAACAACCCGCGCTACCTTATTGGTTCAGGGGATAATCCCACCGTTGTCCAGGTATGGATATGAATGTGTTGCTGGGGTGATGGGCTACTCATGTTGGGCAACACAGAGTTAAAGTCGTAGGGAAACAGCTGTTCCATTGGTTTCAAATGTGATTGGTCATTTATCAAGGGGGTGGGGTTGTTGTGGCAGAAGGTTGGCAAGCAATTTGATTTTGGCTGGTTACTCGGAAGCATCTTGCTAACCAGTTAGCAAATTAGTGCTAGTAGGTTCCCAATGGAAATTCCATTGGGACTAAGTAGCACTAAATTGGTGACTTAGAAATTATACTGTCAAGGAACGCTATGGACAGTGTAAACATGAAGAGGGGAGTTTTGTGTCAGAGGTCGTTGATGAGTTTCCTCCGTCACACATTTTTTATTCAGAGGAGGAAAGCGGGGACGAAGATGTTGTGGAAGAAGACGCCAGGTCGGCAGAAGCTTGGTTTGGTGTAGAAGGCTTACAGCCGTACATGTTTGAGCCCTTGCCTCACAACGCTCCCAGTTCTGTTAGCTCTACGCCTGCCGAAGACACAGACGTCCATCCCCGTGAACACTGGGTTGTAAAAGAAAATTATTCTTATTTTATATTTCAACCATGGCGTATATTAGCTGCGACATATGAATCAAGTTTCTATGGCTGAAAAAATTTGATTGACAGATGACCGTTGATATATGATTGGCCGAATTTAGGTTTACAAGCTGATGCATAATTAACTGGCCTGCATAAAAACACGGGAAAAAAACCCCCATAGATTTTAAGACAGGATTAAAAAAAAAAAGAGTAGATTTATATACATGTTTAAGCCAGAATGATTTGACATTTAAATACGACTTCCCTATGACTTGAAATTGGAACATCTTTTGCAAGTTTCCAACATTGGTTTAATTAAATCTGAGTAACAGAGCTGTGGTTAATAGTTAGATCAGAATTGAGCTTCTTGTGGAAATGTCCCATTATCCTTATGTAGCTTTTATCTGACAGGTTTGTCGTAACGTACTGACAGGTCGAGGTCACTTAATGCTCGGTCTAGAGGCTGCTTTCATCAGAACCTTTGGTTTTAATACTTATCCTGCAGGTTTGTTGTCATACTTTTCTTGAGCACATGCACAAGTAAGTGCCTTTATTGTTTATGAAGGGGATTAGTTGGAGTTCAGGCTTTCTCCCTCCTTGGAGCGGCACACAATGCTAGGTTATGCTTGATAGACCTGTGCTCTGCATTTGCAGCGTTTCTCCCCTGTACCTAATATTCTGGCCCTCTTCAGGAGGTTGGTGTGCGGCACAGAGCGTCTGCTTACAATACCACACAAGGTTTATAAACCTCTTCTGTCAAAGAGCGAGAGAGTAGTTATTTTCCAGGAGTTTTTCTCTCTCTGTTGATGGCGTAAGTACCACATCTGCTCAGGGCTCCGCCCCTTCTTATGACGTCAACATATGGCAACTCCACTCTGACATACTGTATTCACCCGTTTCGTAGGGATTGAATCTCTTTTGGAGTTTTAACATAATATGACCTATATTTGCTATTATTTTACATTTCATTGGCGATCTAAAGTAGCTGAAACTACAAAACAATAATTGCCAGTCTTGAAGGAAAATACTGCGTTCTAAGACAGACAGAGCTCTGCCATTTACCAAGGTGACACAAACGTCCCATTTTTTTAATTCTTTTTATTGAGATCTGATGGCAGTGGAGGAAAAATGGGACATTTTAAAAAATGACTTTCGTTGAGATTTTAGACAAATAAAGCAGTTAATCTACTAGAAAACTAACGGTTGTTGTCGATATGAATTCAAAAGTAGTGTAGCTTAATATGGATAACTGACTGAGCTAAAAGAGGCGAACCTGTTAGCTACTGAGCATAGCTAGCTACAGCGCTACCCAGCTCTATGCAATGGTCTAACAGTTACTTTGTTCAGCATAAACAGATTTTTTCAGCTTTGTTAGTGATCAGGTAAAACTTCATCAGACATTATATGCGCTAACGTTACAGATGATCCCGACTCGGCACACTGGCACTGCATGATCTTATAATTGTCTGGGCAACCACAACGTTCAGCCGACCATGTAGCGTATCGTCACTGGCATGCGCAGGACCAGAGCAGATCTGGTACCTACAGTGATAATCGTACGACCACTCTAGAGGTTTATTTTGGTGAATCCTCAACAGTAGCAGCTGGCGCCATGTTTTTCCTCGCAGAACTGGCAGCATAGTTACACGTTTCCTAGATGTGTGATGCAGATAACCAGGTCCTGGGATAACCTAGGAAGCTAGAATGAAGCCTTTTTTTAGAGGCGTGAAAAATAAAGCAGGTAGTTGGCAGAGAGGTGCAGGGAAATCCAACTCTGTTTTACTTACATGTGTGTTGAGTTGACAAATCTGTGCTTTATTACACACCTGAAGCACAGAGGAGCCTGGTAATGGGTCTTTAGTTTTAGTTTGGCAGTGTTAGAAGTCAGTCTGACATTTTGTTTTTAATTTTAAGTTTTAGGCCTGCAACTAACGACTGTTTTTGCCTAATGGAGTAATCTGTTGATTTGTTTTTCGATAAATTGATTAAGCATTTGATGGTGAAAGGTTCCTTAAAGAAGATTTTACACAAACTATAGACAGAGCTGTCCTTTGGTGGCTTCTTCTGGTACAATAGGTCCTTTGGGAGGTTTGCTTGTTCGGTTAAAGGCATGTTTTACAGTCTCTATACTTTGGGTTTAAATTTGACCAACATACAGGGATGTGAGCCATCTAGTGTGACACCCCTAAATGAAACCTTTTACAAGTCATCAAATCTGTAAAAAAAAATGAGCTTATTTGTAATACATTATCTGTATAAATGCGTCTGTTGGTGGATGGAGACGTGAACAAGTGGAATCATGACAACCAGAGAACATGTGTAGAGGTTTACTTAAAAATGCAAAATAGTTTTTCCAGTGAAATGTTTTGGAGTACATTTAATGTTCAGTATTGTAAGAAAATTAATTTAAAAGGGCTTCCGGTTTTTCTTATGGACCGCTTTGGACACTCCTGGTACTGAACTTAATCGTTCTTTAAAAGACACAGTTCCGCCGACTCTAGAGCGTCTCTTCTATTAATAGGGCGACCCGGTCTGAGCTGGAACCGGGTCATGTGTTTATACACAAACATCTTTTCCATTGTCAATGCCAGCCTCCAGCAGGGACAGCATTAAAAACAGCTGGACTGGTGGTGTCTGTGGCATGTAATCTGTAACTCCATCTGGGAATGTTGGTTTTTGATGCTTGAATACGAATAAATAATAAAATAAAGGGACTATTGATCGTTTTGTGTCTTATGCTTTGTGTCTTCAGGAGGGCTGCCGGTACAACGTCATGCATGTGGCGGCCAAGGAGAACCAGGCAGGGATCGCTCAGCTATTGCTGGACACCTTGGAAAACCCAGAGTTCATGCGCCTCATGTACCCAGATGACCAGGAAGCCATGCTGCAGAAGCGAATCCGCTATATTGTAGATCTTTACCTCAACACTCCCGATAAGGCTGTCAGTTCTGTTACCCATTAACAGCGTTTTATTTCCAGACAGACATGCAGACCTCATGGTGTTTCTGTTTCCCTAACGGTTGCAGAGCTTCGAAACGCCGCTCCACTTTGCCTGTAAGTTCGGATGTCCAGATGTGGTCAATGTCCTGTGCTCGCACCCCGATACCGATAAGAACTGCAAGAACAGGGAAGGCCTGAAGCCGTCTGACGTAAGCAACCAAACTCCCCACCCCCCATCTGGTTAAAAACCCCAGTTCACATTTACTGGGAGGTTATGGTACGTCTATATGGGAGCCGTCTGTCAGCCGACTAGAAAAATGTGCTCGGAGTAGCTGCAGAGGGTTTGACCTTTTTTAAAACCTGTTGGCAGCAGTCACTGACTAAACAATGTGAGCTAAATTTAGCCGAGCAAATGTTTGGAGCAACAGTGGCATGTGTGGACTTGGCTTTATTCATTTGTCGTTCTTCTTTGTTCCGCAGCTAATTTGTAGCAGGAAAAATAAAACCGCAGATGTGAAACAGAGAATAAGTGACTACCTGGAAGGTAAGGAGGATCCACAGCTGTTTATATTCAACTAATAAACTTACATCAGTCCAAAAAAACAGTGCCACGGGCTGGCGACACCCTGAAAATACAGATAATTATTACATTTACAGAAAAATATAGGGATGTATTTATATTAAAATCATTCAGTTAAAATTTCTTTTTTATTACTTAATTTTACATATAATAATTTAATTGTAGATTTGCTGTTATATTTGACTCATGAATAAAATTTTGTTTCTAAATTGTGATATATTGGTACCTCATGATGCTTTTATTTCATCCATTAATGTGCCTCAGGGATGATTTCTCACTGAAGCCCCATTTAGACACTGGAAAAAAAAATCTAAATCTAAATAAGTAATTTTTTCTTAAAATAATTACATTTGTTCTTGAATTGAGGAAATAAAAGAGACCTTTTGAAATAAGAAAACACAACTGAATTGTCTTATTTCAAGTGCATATTATCTAATTATCTATTTTTAAGAGTAAAAATACTCATTCCATTGGCAAATTTATATTTACCTACTCAAATTAAGGGTAAATACACTTAATTTAAGATTTTTTTACTTATTTCTAGATTGTTTTTCCAGTGCACTACCCTCTGAAAAGCGATCCGTGCCGAGCTTGGTTTCTTTCGACCGTTTAGCATGGTTCCTCACCTCCTTGTGACAATCTACGGTACTACTGCTCTCTAGAGGTAAACAAGCAAACCAACATGGCGGTGCCAGTAACACTCAGGAAAGGGCTGGTTATCCTCCTGCAGCAGTGTGTTGCAGTGAGCTTGTCGCATATATTTTTTGATTTATGCCCAATATTGAAATGTGGTCTGCGCTATGTTATATTCCATGCCACAACGCAAGAGGGACAATCACGAACCAGCTGTGGGTCTAGATACGGCCGGGGCGGTGAGGAAGTGGGGGCAAGTTTGTCCGACAACGGAGGGACATGAGGGCGAACAAGAGCGGAGATCCAGGTGGAAAAACAGTCCCAGCTTTCTCTAGCTGGTCCATCTTCCCGAGTCGTTTTCCACAATGGCGGTCATACAAACAAAACAAGCCGTTAAGGTATGAAACAGGAAATGCGCATAGTGTAGAGCGGATGTAGATTTGACCAATCAGCTACCTCCTGTCTACGGTCACCTACAATTTTGGAGAGGTGCACCAGAGTGTCTATGGAACATTTGCGTTCACTGTAACACACATGCAGTTGACCTGGTTTCTGAGTATAAACCAGCCTGAATTTTGCGCTCTTTGTTATCAGAGATTCGCACCAGAACTGAACGACGCCGAGCCCGACTGATGAACTAGTACCATGTTAGTGCGGTTCGGTGCTGTCTGGCACCGTCTGGTTAAGTTTGTACCATTTACCGAGCTCAGACCAATCTCGGCACGGTTTCAAAAGGCTTGATGCTCAATGTGAAAATCATCTCTGTGTTTTAGAAGCCCTGGTCTACATGGCATCACTCTCCCCTGTGGAACCAGGCTAAAAAACAGCTGATCTCAGAGTCACTAAGGGCTTTAAAAAATATTAGAGGGAATTAAAAAAAATGTTAGAGTAACCAGACAGGGTTAGAAGCTTATAGAAAATCCTGTATTAATGCTTTTCCTATATGAAGTGACTCCCTCTTAAATGTCTAAAGCTTGGTTGTATTGTTTCCCAGACCGCTGCTTTGTCCCTTTACTGCGGGCGGCCGACAACACCTCTCAGCCCATCATTGGCGCTCCCTGGTCACCAGATTCGTCACACAGCCTTTCGATGATCGAGAGACACACAAGAAGCCCCACGGATCCGTGGATGACCGTCACGGCCTTTGCTGGCCCACTTAGCCCTTCTAAAGCAAGTATCCCCCTCGGCCTTGTTTCTTTGACATAAAGGGTTAAACCTGTTGCTAACTGTAACATATTATTTATGTGCTGCAGGCGGATGACTTTCGACGATCCTGGAAAACGCCACCGAGAGACCGAGCAGAACTTTTTCACCACATTTTTAAATCCGACCCAGATAGAGGGGCTGAGAGGGTGGGCAGGTACGTCTTGAACTTTTCTGTTTTGGGCTTTAATGTTGCAAATCTAAAAAGTATTGGACCAGTTTTTTTTTAATTAAAGAGCTTCACCAGGCTTTTAAGCTTGGAATGTTTCATAGGGTGAAGACTTTGGTGTATCATATCTTTAGGCTTTGTGCAGTGTAGGGGGGGGTCTGGGTATCCTCCCCTGGAAAATGTTGAAATTTAGACTCAAACGCCATTTCCTGCATTTTGAGGTGGAATGAAGATAACTTTTTGTCGTGATTATGGGAAGTGTATATGCTCAACTAATGGTAGAAATTTCATAAGGAAGACATGAGATCATTTTTAGGCACATTATTTCATAGGTTAATTTAAACAATCAGAAAGTGTAAAGCTATGTTCACACCGAACGCCATCTAAAAAGCATTTGCACATCAAGGCCAATTTATGCTTCTGACGCATAGCCTCTGCAACCCACAACCGCCTGTCTCTGTGCGCGACCACGCGCCTCACGCAGAGGTTCTTCAACAGCCGCCCCGCACCTCAAAAAAATCATGACTACACGTTGTATGGTCGCAATGCCGCACAGACCTCAAGCGGAAGTGCGCAGACAAAAAGCAGCTGTGATTGGTCCTTGGTATGCCTTTTCGGCCGTCTGTGTGGTCGTCCTTCTCGATTCGATGCTGGCGGGCGCGGCATTTTTAAAAACCGAGGAACAACTACAATGGACAACCTACGTGTCCTTCTTTGTCTTTTTGCCAACTCCATTAACTGAACCTGTTCCTCCTCAATGTTTAGCAACTCCAGATCCATCTCCGTGACCGTGATAACTTGCAGACGTGTCATTGTTGTGAAATTCGTTGCTCTGTACTTGTGACAATAAAAGTAAAAAAAAAAAAAAAAAAAAAAAACTAAAACTAGATGTTAGCGTTTTTCAGGTATGTGTTATGAACTGCAGGCAGAATTGTAAAAACGAACATATTAAGCCAGCAGATTGTTACATTTTAAGTTCATTTAGTTTCAGAGCAGAGATCATAGTGCTCTGCATCAGCAGTGCAGTGTCTCTCTCCCTGTCGGCTCCCAGATCAGCTTCTCTCATTGGTTGATGTGGCGTGTTGAGCAGCAAAAGTTCAATTTTTCCAACTCCAGCTGCTGCCGCTTGTGAAATTTGTAATATTTCAGTAAAGTTTTCAGGGGAAGATTAGGGCGTACCAAGGTCGTACATCCCCCAAAAACAGTGTATACTTTTTTTCAGTCAATGGCGTAAAATGTACGCCCGTACAAGTTAGTAGCTAAAAGCCTGAGCTTCACTGTTTAGGCATAAAATTATGACCAGCAAGGACGTAGTGTTTTCTCCGACACCTTTTCTACCTAGAACAACTATTGCTTTTTCTTGGAATTGAATTTTCCCTTTTAATTCATTTGGATCAGACAGCACAAACTCTTAAATCCTTCATTCTCACCCATTTTCCTCATTTCTAACTGGAAATGGAGAAAAGTTTCACTGTCTGCCTTTTATCCCCCACCCAGTAACTGATGAAATAATCTGCTACTTACAGCAGTGTGTTAATGGTCATCGGGTTTTGCCTGATGAGGGAAGAATCTGCAGATAGTATCATCATGGGACTCTTATTTTTGGCAGTCAGGCTGTGGTGGGGGTTTGTTTTAAGAGTTAAATGTCCAAAGTAAAAACATTTACCACTGAAGGTGATTTATTGAGCTGTTAAAAGTCTGAATTTTCTTATTTTGCAACATGTACCCTGGCAATGAACGGATGGGAGGCTGAGTCTAACAGATGCATTATTTAATTCAGAGACCTGGCTCATGAGATGGGCCATCCCTGGGCCGAGTACTGGGGCTTCCTGGACTGTTTTGTGGACCTGTCCTCCCCTGAGGGGCTCCGTAAGCTGGAGGAGCACCTGAGCAAGAGGGATCTGAGTCACAGAGCTCATGAAGGGGCCGGACCAAATGGGACCAGCAATAGGTTCAAAACACCGTCACCAGGTAAATCCTCTACAGAGGCGCGTGGATGACTCAAGAAATTACTGAAGAGTAAAACAGTGTTTAGTAAAAAGGCTACTTAAGCCATACAATATATAAAGTTAAAATGCAAATTCTGGTATTTCTGAGAATGTTAATAAAAAAGGAAATAAACATAAAACACAGTAATTATATATAAATTAAATGTATTTTATAGATATTTGTTAGAAAACATACAAACCAGGTTTGCAGTGTTATTTAGGTTAGAATGAGGATAATTACTTACAGAGGGAATGTTCAAAACGACAAAGACCAGCAAAAAGAAAATAGAATTAAAACTATGAAGCTTGAGCACAAAAAAGACTGTTTTTTTTACATCTGTGCTGCATTTAAAAAAAAATCCTTTCATTAGAGAAGTCTAAAAATTGTACTTTAAAAAGCTACTTAAGCAACTGTAATTGAGTAAATGTAACTAGTTCTGAGTATTTAACACAGCATGTGGGATAAACTCCTTTGATTATTCTGTTTTTGGTTTTTTGTGGTCCCAGGTAAGCCCAAAAAATTCTGCAACTCAGTTTCAGTCGGCGCCTTCCTAGATGAAGGAGACGACATCAGCCTGGAGGAGATGAAGAACCGTCAGAACGCAGCACTGTCCAGTATCGCCTCCTCTGCCGCATCCAAAGACGCCCTCAAGGGAGCTGTAGGCGGACGAGAGTTGCACATCGCTCTGCACCACCGCGGGGCGGACCTGATCGAGAACGCCGCGGAGCAGGACCTTCTGTGCTGCTGCAGCGATGGCCTCCTGTCACCTGGAGTCGTCTGCAAAAACAAAGTGTGCTCCTCCTTGAGGGAAAGGACTCACAACGGAGACAGGGTTTCCCCGCGCAGCTCGCCGTCCTCCTCCTGCAGCGCGCTGTCGCCCATCTCCAACCTGATGGTGGAGTTTGAGCGCATGTCGCTCCACGAGCCCACAGACGGTCTGACGGGCTCCCGGGAGAGGAGGAGCAGCGGGAAGAATCGACAGGACGTCCGGAAATCGTGCAGCTCCGTCTCGGCCTCAGACCTCAGCTCAGGGCTGAACCGCCTGTCGCTGCGCCAGGATGGCCGAGATCCAGAGGAGAGGAGCAGCAGCTCAGACGAATACGTTACGGCAGAGGAGAGTCCGGATTCGATGGGGAGGACTAGAGGGTCACTGCCAGGGGTGCGCAACTTCTGTGCAAGATCCAAGTCATGGGACCATGGAGGCAGGGACCTGAGCAGCTCTGGCTCCTCTGGCTCCTCTTATAAGTCTCTGGATAACTCCCAAGAGTTCTTACCCAGGACGCCTCCGCACTATAGAAGAGGACTTTTCATAGAGGGGTGAGTCACACTGGTTTCTGTACAGTTTGAAACATTGACATCAAAAGAAACAGGTCAAAGTCCAAATTATATAACCCATATTAATACTTTAAGGATGAGAATATTTTTTTCTGAGTCTTAAGTCGAGCGTGATCCAAAGGTTGCTGATCCAGTTTTCCTTCCAGGCCGGATAGTAAACGACGGTGAATGAGGTTTTTGATACTAAGGTAGCGTGTTTCAACAGGGATTCCCCCACTAAACTGGACAGCGAGGTCCTGTCTGCGCTGCAGGACGCCGATATCGATCCACAGAAGTATCCCAGTGTACACAAGTGGAAGTGCACAATGAAGTCGTACTCTCCTTCGGACATGCAGAGGTCAGTGGGTCAGCTGGCATTTATGTTTTAACACGAGGAATCGTTTTGAACTTTTAGTCGCTGATGATTTCCGATCATTATGTTAGGCTACAGACCAGATTATAATCCTTTCATTTGTTCCCTTCGTCTCCATTTCTGGGTTGAACGTCTCTTTGGGGATGGTTTATATCAAACTGCTTTAAACCAGTTCTCACGATCCTAAAACTTTACTCTGGAAGATATTCAATACTTGTTACCATGGGAATAAAAACGGCAAAAAATTAAAGGCATGAAAACTCACCTTTTTCAGAATGAGAGGTTTTTTAGTTAAATAAGTATACAAATACTCCAAGTATAACACAATATGTTTTAGTTTGTGATATTAGTCTTCTAATTTGCAAATAATCTAGAAATCTAAAATGAACAAAAGCAAAAATATACAAACACTTGTATTTAGTATGAATATTGTGCTAAATTAGTTTTGTATCCAAATACAGCGTTTAAGTTTGGATGCTTTTGACGAACGTGTTCTGCTGTTTGTTCACTAAAATTGTGTGACGATCCTCTAAGGCAGGGTTCTGCAACCTTTTCAATTCAGACACTTTGCCATCATGGCTACAAAATACGATTTTTCAAAAGCCACAATAAAGATTTCTTGATATTTGAAAGCCTTTGAAAATGTCAATATTTAAGAGAAAATTTAACATTTACAAAAACACAAACTTTTGTGTTGTAGGATGAGGAAGGCAGAGTGAGCCACCTTAAATATGAGTAAATTATAATATTTAGCCCCATCTTAATGTATAAAAAACATTACATTACTTTTAAAGGCCTGCTGCTGTTCTGTTTTCATGCCATATCGGTACAGAAAATCTATAAGAGAATCTTTCTTATTGTCTTGATAAATGAAATAGTTTCTTTCCCAGTTTTGTTGGGGCCACACTAAAGGGGCCAAAGAGCCACAGGATGCAGACTCCTGCTCTGAGGCCTCCACTGTTCAGCTCGGTTTACGTTCATTTATAGGATTATGGACTCTGCTTGCTAATTCCATTGAAGGCATTTGTTTAGCATTGTATTTTATTTAGCTCTCTTATTTTGATAGATTTAGATTTATAACAATAATAAAATGCAGTACATTTTGGTTAAGTGTTCTTTCCACCTCTTTACAACTTTTGGTTTCGGTTTGTCACATCAATCTCCCAAAAATGCTGATTTTTGTGTTTGCAACATACCTTTGCCAAGCTCTGTATTTGTCTAATAAAGGTCTGGTTATTGTTGCCTTTTTAAAGCTACAGTGTGTAATATTTACAGGGATATACAGTCAGAAATGTAATATATTATACATAACTATGTTATTTATCATCATCTACGAGCTCAGCCTCTTCACCTTAATATTTGCGTTGCCTTAGAATTCGTTATTTATAATTACGTAGGAGCGGGTCTCGCAGCCATGGAGGCAGACATCTTTGCGCTACGGCAGCGCAGAGCCAACAAACTAGCCATTGTGAGATCTCCCATTACGCTCGAAAGTAACTACGGCAAGTTGAGAGAGATGAACTGAGACGGTACTGAACAATAGATGGCAGTATTAAAATTATCTATGTAAACAAACCTCATCACTTGAGAAGGTAGGTGATGCGGATGTCGTGGAAGACATTTTGTCCCGTAACGCTCGCGGTACTTTTGGGGGGGGGGAGAAGCGGTGGGGGGGAGATGTTCATGTTGCTGCGGTCTGCAGTCTGAACGTTAGATGTCGCTGAAAATTACACACTGTAGCTTTAATGGCTGATTAATGCAGAAACATGTAACCTATGTTGTGTTTTTTTTTTTTTTTTTTTTTAGCTGGCCAAGCCCTGCAGTGAAACCCTGCCTCAGGATGCAGCCTCAGACCTCCATGTCCCCCAACAGCGGCTTGATGTCTCCCACTGGTCGCTTCAGTCCTGTCCGCCCTGCTGCCTCACCAGACTATAGCCCTAGCCGGTACAGCCCCGCCAACATTAGCTACATTCAGCGCCTCCGCTTCAAGCACCTGAGCGAGCCGTTATTCTAAACTGACCTCTCATGTGAATCGCTTCCTCTCCTCCACAAACACAGTTCCCCAAAAGCAGAGCTCAAAAACCCCAAACCTGACAGAAATATGCACAAATGTCTGGAAGATTTCTACTCCTGTTTGATTCTGTGTAAAACGGCAGATCTCTCCACATAGGACTGTAAAAAAAACACACAAAAAACATTTGTTATTGTACTGTATGGGTGTGGGTTATGTTGAATTCATGGAAAAGTGTTTGTGACGACTGTGAAACACCTTGACCATCCCTGGAGTCAACTTTTTTTATTTGAAATTCTCGCAAACCCAAGCCACACATCCCAAAGTTTAGCCGGTCACTAAAACCATAAAGCTGAATCCTCTGCAGGATTCTCTCACTGAAAAGATGTGGGATATACTAAAACAAGTAAATTGTTAATATTTTAAATATTTTTTTGTATGTTGGTCAGTAGCACAAAAATAAAAGTTTTTATTAATGGTGTTTAAAAACTGCCATTTCCTGTTTTGTTCCTCAGTTCAGGAATCGCCTTAATTTTCTGAAGTGATGGACCCCCCCCCCCCTTCTGTTGGTTTAGACAAACTTTAGCTCATACATCAAATGTATGTTGGGATAAAAGGAAAATAAACTGAGATCTTCCATATTTCTAATGACCATCTGTACTCAGATGACGGCTTTTATTTGTCATCTTTTCCCGTAGTTCCTGGATGTCTTCTTTGTCCCATTAAGGGCCGCCTTAAACAGTGCCATTTCCTTTGCCTCTTTTCTGATTCTGTTTGCAAGTCACAAGCATCTCCTTCCATGTGTAAAGAAACCTCCATTAGTCAAGTTTAATTAGAATTGCCTTGTTCTTAAACCTGAAATCATATTAAACCAGAATGATGTTCTTTTTGTAATCACTAGAAGGCAGCATGACTCCAGAAGTAACCCCAACATGTCAAATAAGCAGAATCTGCCTTATTACATGAGAGGTGCAACATATTAGCTGATTCCTAGTATTTCTATCTCTAACGATGCAGAAACAGTTTGGACTCCTTCAATTCAGTCAATTTATATAGCAAAATTCACAACACGTCACCTCCACGACTCCTTGGAATTTTTGTTAAGAGTTTTATTTAACCAATTGGCTTGTTGCACCAGGCAACATAAATGTACTTCCTCATTCCTAGGTGTGATTTTGTTCACTTCCGGTGCCGTTCTGAGCCGTCTGAAAACAATGGCGCAGTTTCACACTTGTTGTCTTCAGGACCTGCCTAAAATGTCTATAAAGGACATTCTTCGCTTGATTCGGGCTTTAACATCCCACCACATAAAAAATGTGCAAGAATTTTAGTGAATCGCACACCTGCGAAGAACCCAGCAACTCACCTGTGAGCGCAAAAAAAACAAAATGTACATAATTTTTTTGCATTATTTTGGTTGAAACGCTCACTTAACCTTGCATTCTACATCAAATGTTATTATAGCTAAATACAGAATATAAAACAAACTTATTGTTATAGTGTCGAATTTGGTCATCTGAGCTGGCAGAGCGCTCCAGACAGAAACGCATTGTGAGTTTCAGCCACTCTATTTGACTCCTAGCCAACTCAAGTTGTCTCTGCATGGACTTTCTTTTCGTAACTCGTTCGCCATTACCCCAGTTGCCTCTGAAACACAATCGTGGTCGGGGTTGCCCCACATCAGGGCACATCTAAAGGTCCTGCAGCAGGAGCAATACATCTTGATGCAGCTGAAGCTGAGCATCAGAGGCGCGTGACACACTTCATAAGCAGCAGCTGCTGAAGTTGGAAAATTGTAACTTTTGCTGCTCAGCACAACACATCAACCAATCAGAGAAGCTGATCTGGGAACTGGCAGGGAGACGGACACAATGCTGCTGATGCAGATTGCAATGATCCCTTCGCTAAAACTTTATTAATGGCTAAATTAACCTAAAATGTTGAAACCTGCCCGCAGAATGTGTTCGCTTTTAATATTCTGGTGACTGCAGTTTGTGCCAAGTACATGAAATGGCGAACTTCTTCTTCCAGCCGCCATGAACAGAAGCGGAAACCCCCCAAAAAGCGATCCGGCCTGAGGCAGCCGCTGCTGGGGATTCTCAATGACGGCGGCCCACCCATATACGGCGGTCTGAGTGTCTCCGACAACGAAATAATATTTGAAGGCAGGATCATAATCTTGATTAACTGACTGTAAAAATGATTTGACGTAGACTTTCTTGCATAAAAATATATTAAAACTATTTTTTACCGCCTTATCACAACAAATATAGCAAAGCCACTTTCTGCCATTGAACACAGGAGGAGCACAAGCATATGACACATTTGTACAACTTGACAGGATGCGCTTCATGAGCATCAAAAATGAAGCAGCAGAATCTTTGCTGCTGCTGAAATCGGTTTGGTGTAAATGTAGCATAAGATACATGAATTGTACTGTGAAGAACAAGTACATTTCGGTGCACAACAGTGTAGTGATGATCCTCCAACCCATTGATAGGCCAATCTCTTTTTGTATACACCGAACAAATTAATTTTCTCTCTGCTTGATAGCTTTCTCTGACAACATTCCAGGTTGACTGGCAGGACCGTGAACCAACAGGAAGTCCCATGCATCACATTCTGTGACCGGAAGTTAGTGGCCGCCATATTGTGCACTTAGCCAATTTGTTTTCCAAGAGTCTTCTGCTTACAGTGGACTTGTGTGACTGTTTTTCAGAACCAGCTGAGTCAGTTTATTTGGATGAGGAAAGGAAAAAAATATCTTTAATTTCTGAATTGACACCTTAGCCTAGCTGAGAGAAACCTGTTCTGAATGTATTTTTCTAGCCGTTATCAAAGAGCACAATCCACGTCACTGAGAAGATTGTATCGTCACTCTCGTGCTCTTATTCTTGTCTCTGAATCTTAATGAATGTGGAACTTTGCAAAAAACGCACCTAAAAGATTTCAACATGCTTCTTGTACTTTTTTGAAGTTTTTTTTCATGGTGATTTCTTTTTTCTGTATGTATAAACTTAATTTGCTTTTATCTAATCAATAAATCTTCACTCCCACCCTTCCCGCTGTTGTGTGATGAGACTTTGTTTTCCGGGGAATATTTCATTTCTGGCAAGGAAATCCATGCCTCTATTGTTGTAGTAGCTAGTTGGTGCGTGTCGTGGCGGCAACCCTCGTGGACAACAGCAGTGCGGGTAGCTGTCAAGCTGAAGCACTCCTATCGGGCTTTATTGGCCCGATAGGAGTCCGATAGTGGGTCACGGCAGTCAAAGTGGAAGGCGATGGATGGATATTTCGTTTCTGGCCAGGAAAACGAGACAAAACAGAGCTGCTTGAAATAATTTATTTACCACAATACATTAAACATGTCTCACCTTTATCAAAATAGCTAAAGCTAACATGAAATGCATGGGCAGCTAGCCAGATAAATAGACCTTATTTTCTTTATTTTGGTTCAAAAATGAGTCACTTGTGTAAAATTCATGAATTACATTCAGCAGAAGTTGCAATGCAGCTGTTAATACTCTTGGCGATGGCATTTGATGCTTGATTTAGAAAATAATTCATAAAAAGTTGATTTTTCAAGACACTTGAGGAAAAAAAAAAGTTTTAACCCTGAAACCCATATTTTCATAAAAAAAAAAAAAAATCTGCTTTACTCTGAGCCTTTAGGTCCGTGTTAGTTTGTCTGGAGGCATAAATCCTGCGTCTCCCAGAGTCCTGAGGGCCACCCTGCCACTGGGCCGGATGGTGAGCCAGGTGATGCTGCCGTTGTGTAAGCCCATACGCAGCCAGCCCTCAGGGGGGAACTGCAGCGCCCTGATTGGGAAGAGAGACGGCTGAATAAGAAGGGAAATGTACAGCTGCAGCTTTTAGATACGTTAATTCACAATATAGCATTTATCAGTGTTATTATTGTTTGAAGTAAACGTCTGAGGGCTGATCAACGGGTCTCATTCGACTGGGATATGGAAGAAAAACATATGAACCAGATTGATGCCAGAAAGCTGATTTCTCCTGACGTAAACTGATAGAAAACATGCAGGATTCTCTCATTAACATCTGTAAAAAATCTAATTTCGGATTTTTACAGTAGATGTGTTCTGAGTTGGTCACACCACACAAAAATGTTTTATTAATCACTCATCTGAATTTGAATGATTAAAAACTAAAGCATAGAAAATTAGGTTTTCTCTGCTCTAAATTCTGGAGGGGATGACTGATATAGCTGCTGAAACCACGGCCCCACCCTGTTCTATTTCACTGCAAAAGCTTTAACAGGAAAATGTGTTAAATATAATATTTACATTTTAATTCAGGAGGGATCTGTGACTCATGTCGAACGGAGAAACAAGAGGAGAGTCGCTCACTGAATTGCAGACACATGCTGCTGCGTCTGAGTCCCTGTGTTTTAGAGGAAAGTCTCCAGCAAGACAGGAAAAACATGCTTGTTTTTTTGTTTATTTTTAAGTCCCTGGAGGGGTCTGAAAAGACCCTAATACAGCGACAAAGTATATTTACAGCATTATCTTTTTTATACTGCTGGACCAGCAGGGGGCAGACCTCTGCAGGCAGCCACACTGTAGCAACAAATCCTGAAACAGGAATATTGGAACCCAAATTCAGTTCTGGTGCGAACTCAGTGCAATCATTAAAAAGACGCAAGAGTTTGAGAAAATTGGCAAATTGCCTTTATATGGTCTTAAAGTTCAGGTGAATATCTAAAGGACCAATCTTTAAACTATCCAACTTTGAGTATTAGTCTTCTTCCCTCAGCACAGGTTGGTAAAAGCTCTCCGTTTATTTTGATTCTAAAATAATCTGATTCAAATTAGATTTTTTCGTTTTTATAATGATTAAACCTTTGAAAGCATGAGACAAATGTATGAAATTGACAAAAAAAAAAGCAGCAAAACCAAACAGTGGTTTGAGTTGAGCCGCCGCCACCACAAACCTGCAGACAAAATAACGGATGACATTGGCATGACACACGATGATCTCATAGCTGTCCTCTTTCTGCTTGGGGTCAGCCCGGTGGATGTAGCGGC